TCAAGAAACGTTCTGTCCCCAAAACTAGGATTGTGAAGACAAAGGCATAGAGGAGAACTTAGGGTTTCTGGGGAGAGATTAAAGTCCTGCTTCCGAAAAAGGGAATTGTTTTGCCTGTGGTGCTGTCCTTCTGTGTGTCTCTTTTTGCTTCAGTGTGTCTCTTTTTGCTTCAGTGTGTGTCAGGAAGAGGGACTGTTGATCTCCATTTGGTTTTTAAAGGAAGACTAGAGAAATCAGAACAGGACCAGCCTTGTTTCTGTGAAGCAGGTGCTGTTGCTGAGCCTGTGAATTGAAGGGTGGGGGGGAGGAAAGACTAAGGAAAAACATTCTTAACTTTGGATCAAAGGGTGTGAAATATATTCTTAATGTCCTAATGAGGATGCACAGCTGAATTACGTCCAGCTAACTAACACACTACACTAAATTTGGGCAAGAGTACGGGAGAGTGATAGTTGAAGAAAAATCCAATCAACAGAAGAACTAGGGGCTGGAGCTGGCAAAGGAATTTGGGGAGTTCACACCAAGTTGTATGGTGGAGAAAACATGGAGAGAAGAAATGCACAGAAAGGAAGAGAAATGTTTTGATTTAGCTTTCTTGAATGGAGAGCAGAATCAAAGATTATTTTGTAAAAACTAGAAAAAAAAAATAAAAGAAAGCAGAGGTTTAATGAATACCCAAGTAGTATACATCAGGATTAGCTAAAAAGCATTAAGGAGACAGATGTTCTGAATGAATGGGGAAAAATTAGAACTACTTCTCACATACACACCCTTAGCCCCACCCATCCATCACTTTCACCTCCTCTGTATCTTATTATACAGGTTTGACCTTCCTTCTTCATTCTGTAGGTGTGGAGTTCTAAGCCATGTTAAAAAAAATTAATGAGGTATCCTATACATTAAAAATTCCACAAGTGTACAGTTTGTTGAATTTTTGCCTATCTATGCATCCATGTAACCACTACCCACATCATTTCCAGCACCCCGGAAGCTCATCTGCGCTTCTCAGTCAAAATCCCCCACTCTTCAGAGACAGCCGCTATTTTGACTTCTATCATCAAAGATTAATGTTACCTGTTCTTGAAGTTCATAAATAGAATCTGAGCACGTACACACTTCTGTGTCTGCTTTCTTTTGCTTATCATTAGGTCTGTGAGATTCATCCATGTCGCTGCATGTTTTTATTGCAGTGCAGTATTCCAGTGCATGACTATAAACCATTTTTCTATTTTCCTATTGATGCACTTTTGGATTTTTTTTTTTTTTTGGTCTATTCAAAGTAAACCTGCTATGAATGTTCTTGTATATTTCTCTGAGTGAACACATGCAATCATTTATCCTTGGTATACACCAAGGAGTGTAAATCATTTAATTTCCTTCTGGCTACCACAAGGAGGACAATCTCATGAAGGAGATTCTGAAGCCTACTTTCTATCTGAAATAATTGCATAAAGGGATAAAGGCAAAGGCTATCACTACTGAACACCAACTCAATGCCTGAAATGTGTCTGATCTTTTCCATATATAGTCTCATTTTCTTCTCACAACTACTCTATAAAGTATGTATAATTGTTTCTATTTTGCAAATTAAGAATCTCAAATACAAGACATGGTGGTAGGAAGTGGCCCTTGGCCTTGTAAGGTGGAGCATGCGTGTGTGTATAAGTGCTCCATGAGGGGGCGATGAGACAAGGATGTGATAGAAGGACCCACCCTGTAGACGAGGCTGGAGATTGGTCTGTGGAGATGAGACGACCTGGAGAACACAGAGCAGTGCTTCCCAGGTGAACAGAGTGGCATGGGAGGACTGGAAATGGGAAATGGGCTTTAATTTGATTGCAGTGTGTATGTGTGTTGTCAGGGGAGAAGGGATAGATTAGAGATAACAGAGCCTGCTATCTGACAGCATCTTAGTGAATATAAGTACTTGCACCTACCTGTGGCCTGTGGGGTGGGCAGAGATCGTGGACTCCATTTCACTGATGGGGATACTGAAGATAAGAATGGTCCAATCTCCAGGCACCTGGGTAGCTCAGTCGGTTAAGAATCTGACTCTTGACGTCGGCCCAGGTCATGATCTCAGGGTCTTCAGATCAAGCCCTGCGTGGCGCTCTGAGCTGGGTGCGGAGTCTGCTTAAGATTCTCTCTCTCTCTCCCCCTCTCCTACCCCCCTTCCCAAACATGTGTGCTCGCTCTCTCTCTCTCAAAAAAAAAAAAAAAAGGTCCAATCTCAATTTCAAATAAGCAAATTAAGGAGTTGAGACTTGCATCCAAACCTGTTATCATGTTGCCTATACACAAAGGTAATGATTGAGATGCATACAAATTTCTCCCAGTTCCATTTAAATGTAAAACATCACATGGTACAGATGCTCTAGGTTCTGTGAACTTCAACCTTTCCCCCATCTCTAGGTATTTAATTCCCTAAGAGGAGGCCCTGTGACATTGTATCTGTGTTTACAGGAATCCTGTGCCCTGGCAGTATAGGACCTCTTTTTATCTGTATGGTTCTTTTGTCTGACCTTCTTATAGAGAAAGAGGTCTATAAAAGCTTGAGACAACAACTTCCAACTATTTCCAAATCAATATACATTTTTCAATGACCATTTAATCTATGAACTTTTCCTTTTAAATGTGAATAAGAAAGCATGTAAAAATGACTATAGATAGGCAAAGAATACTAGATATTGACTTAGAAAATCAACCTCAAATGGTTTACTTGGGTTTTCTAGAATGACTCAACAACTTCAGAAAATTAAAGATTTCAAAGTAATTGCAGATTATATGCTACTCAAAAACAGGAGAAACATACGGTTGGTACCCAAATGTTTACCGAATGAATGACTGTGATCCATAAATTCTGATGATAATCCATGGGTGCACCTAAATGTACCATAACTGTGCAGTGGAAAGAGCATTAGGCAAAGAAGTTTTGTTTAGGTCTTAGCTCCACCCCTTCTTAGCATATTGATCTTGGGTAAATCACCTCACTCTTTCACTGGACTTAATTTCATCATCTGTAAAATGAGAGATTGGACTCATAGATGATCTGGTAGTCACATGACATTTCTTGCATTCTACGATTAAGTGTGTTTTCCTGTCATCTTCTCTAATCTTTCAAAGATGAACTTTGCATAACTAAGTTTAATACTGCTTTTTATGCTAGGGAGAGTAGGAAAAGAAGTTTCCTGTGGTCTTTCTCTCCTTCAGTACCTCCTAGGGGAGTAATGAAAATAAGAATGAGTTTTAGGAAGGTCATCAGCTTATAAAACTTTTTTGCAGTGGTTTACAATGCTCCATGGTAATCTGCCTCTGGGTTAGTTCTCAGGTACACCAGATTCAAAAGACAACTTGTAATAAAGCATTTTTTGTTCTCTTCTTCATATTAAACAGGTCTTTCATTCCTTAAATATGGCTCATTTTCTCTGTTTCCATCCATCAACTAGAGTAACCTTGTGAAATATATGGAAAAGTGTTTTTTTTCTTTTAAAGGACATATATTCACATATGCTAATAAATTAACACCAGGTACCACAAGAATGAAATTGTTTCTAAAAGGGGGGGGGGTCCTCTGGACACCTGGGTGGCTCAGTTGGTGAAGCGTCTGCCTTCGGCTCAGGTCATGACGCCAGACCTGAGGATCCTGGGTCCTGGGATGGAGTCCTTGCTCATCAGGGAGTCTGCTTCTCCCTCTTTCTGCTCTGCCTGCCGTTCCCCCTGCTTGTGCTCTCTCTCTCTGACAAATAAATAAAATCTTTAAAAAATAATAAATAAAATAAAATAAAATGGGGGGTCCTCTTTGGAAAGTGTAGTGCATTAAGTTCTTAGAGAGTAGGAACTACCTGTATGAGACTTACAGCACCTACCATTTAAATCAGCATTGAATAAACCACGTTGGAAGGGCAAACTTTTAAATAAGTTATTGGTTATCACGGGAGAGAAAGTTCAGTAAAACATCAGATTCCAGCACACACAAACCACTTTTCTACCATGGTTTATTGCATATTGTCATCCTTTTGTTAAGGCAACACTGCCCAGCACTAGTGGAAACAAAACTTATATGGGTTATTGTTGCTATCTACTCTGATCTACTTCTCATGGGGCTGGAACGGACTTGGCCCATACCCAAGGATACTCTTATTCCTTTCCAATTTGTTAGGGGTGCTTAGATACTTCAGGGTTTCCCCCCCACATTTTCTTCCAGCTCTGTTATATTTACTGGATTCTCTAAAATTAAAGGCTCAACATTTCTTCCAGCTAGTTTTACTTTTTCTGTTAATTACAGCTTTCCCCACGTCATCTTTATATTGGTTACCTTTGATAACATTTGTAACAGAAATGAAACAAAGAGCAGAAACAAGTTGCCAATAAAACTTCTGATCTCCTGCTTCACTGTACACCGTGCACTGGCTTTGTTTTGCTGTTCACATCTACCTCTTGAGCCACCTATATCTACAAGCCAAGTACTTCCTCTAAATATTTCTGCAAAGTTAGTGCTGAGTAAAAATATATACATCCATTTTTCTCAGCACCCGTTTCTCCAACACACGTATGCAAAACTAGTGGGTAAAAAAGACAAGAATGGGACCACCTAAGCTACAAAAGAATGGGGGGCTCATTTGCATCTAGAGAGACCCTCCCCCCACCTGCTCTCAGGAAGCGCCTTTTAAGGTGTGTGCGCCTGTGTGCCCTTCCCAAGCCATCTGGATGATGATGCGAGAGGGAAGATTTTGCATTGCAAAGACCGATTTTTAAAAAATGCTGTGCAGGTAGTTCCTAGCCAAGAGCGTGCTCGTGCCGGGGGAGGCGAAGGAGGAGAAAGGCGGCAGCACCGGCAGCCTGCTGGGGGCTGACCTGATTCCCTAGAATCCTCAGCTCCCTTCCTCTCTCCTCCGACGTCCTTCCTTCCCTTCTCTCCTCCTTCCCCCCCTTCCTTTCCCCAGCGAAGCAGCTGCGAGGAACAAAGAACGCGGGCGCTCCGGGAGGCAGCGCGCAAGCCCCGCGCAGTGCGCGCGGCGTCTGGCTCCTCGGAGCGGGGCTCTCCCGGCTCCACGTCCCTCCGCAGCCTCCCCCGCCTCCCGCGCTCGCTCGCTCCCGCCCGCTCGCCGCCTCCCCCACCTTCGCGGCGCCGGAGGAAGGCGGCCGGGGCTCAAGATGGCTTTAGCCGGGCTCTGCGTCCTGCTCGCCTGCTGCTGGGGGCCGGCGGCGGTGCTGGCCACGGCCGCCGGCGACGTGGACCCATCCAAGGAGCTGGAGTGCAAGCTCAAGAGCATCACGGTGTCGGCGCTGCCCTTCCTGCGCGAGAACGACCTGAGCATCATGCACAGCCCCTCGGCCTCCGAGCCCAAGCTCCTCTTCTCGGTGCGCAACGACTTCCCGGGAGAAATGGTCGTGGTGGACGACCTGGAAAACACGGAGCTGCCCTACTTCGTGCTGGGTGAGTCCCGGGGGAGGTCGAGGCGGCCCGGCGCCCCCACCCCCCCACCCCGGCTCGCTCCACACACCCACTCGCCGCCGACCTCCCTTCCCCCACTCCTGTCGCCCAGGATCCGCCCCACGCCCAGCCCGCCCTCCACACCCACCTGCCGGCCGGCCCCTCGGTGCCCCCGACTTCTTCCCACATACGACATGGATGCGGGGCCCTCGACCTCCCAGCCGCCCTGCCCCACAGGAGCAGGTTGCAGGAGCCCCTCTGAAAGCTTTCCCGGCCTTGACCTCTCCGCTTTCCTTCAGGAGCACATTGACAGAACGCTTGTCTGCGACCAGCTCAACTCCCATAAGCCCTTCTCCCCACTCCCTGGCCACATGCCCCGTTCTTTGCTTCACACCCCCTGGACACCCACTCCCACAGCATTTCCTGGGGCAGTTGGAAACAGGTATCCCGCCCTCCCGGGGCAGGCATGTGCTGGCCACATTGCACTGGCTGGATCTCTAGCCCTCACTCTCGGAGAGGGCTCTGTATCTCTCAGCAGGTGACTGGCACTTAGTCACAACACTCAAGTTTTCTCTCCTCTTGGTGTCCAACCTACCTTCACACTTACATGCAACAATGTCCTCAACCAGCCACCTCCACATGCTCAGGTCACATCAAGATGCCTTGGATAAAGAAAGCATCCAACTGTAGTCTGTTCCTGTTGGGATCTTCTTTGTTCCCAGTGCTACCTTAGGTAGGCAAAGGCATTCCTGCACACAGAATGGTCTCCCTGGCTAAGAGGCTCCTGTTCCGTTCCTTTTGTTTGTTTACATTTCTCTCTCAGTACCCCTCTACTCATTTTCTTAGGCCACAAAACTCCGTCAGATCCTGGAACCTTCTAATCCAACTCTCTTTTCTCACTGCCAGGCTGCAAAGATACTGTGGTCCTCCTACTCCAGCCTCTTGCAAAGCAGGACAGGTTCATGTGACTTCGTTAACCAAAATTTCCCTCACTTTTCCCTGTGCAGATGTCTCTCTCTCCCTGCTGTGCATGCCCACCGTGCAATCCATTTCTTTAGTGATGCTGTACATCATCCTTATTTTGCCCATGAGAGAATTCAAAGATAATCCAATTCATAGTTACTCTCTAGATCCAAAAACTGACAAACAATGGAACTGTCCAGGAGGCGAATGTTTCATCTACTTAATGTCCTACCAACTGGAGTTCACTTTGTAGGAACATGGCTTCCTGATGGCCATACATAGGGTTGACCACATGTGGAATGTCCCATAACACCTCCCTGGTGCTCTTTATTCACAAGAGATCTCTTCACATTGCAAACATTAAGAAGTGGGTGAGTAAACCCCTACTCTCCGATCCCTATGGAAAAGCGATTTCAAAAATTGCCTGGTCCTTTGAAAAGTTGGTTTGCAATTCCTGGAGTGCGGCTTAGTTGACCCTGTTAAGTCCAGCCTACACACTTGATGGCATTACTTATTTTTGCATTAAAAACATACCAATGACATAATAAAACTGGGGGCTGGCTGGGAATGGGGACACTGTGGATATGTGGCTCATTAAAATGTACAATTGCTGGGTTATTCAGTGGATGCAAATTTTGCATGGAAGTCATGCTGATGTGCAAGTACAGTCTGTTCGTCATAATATACAAGAAGGAGTATAGGGAATTACATGCTTCTAAAGAGCCTGTTTGGGGCTCTACACGTTGTGTTTACTGTGCACAAGGAGGGCTGTGTGTGGTGCATGAGAAAAAGGGAAATGAGACTAGCAGGTCTTCAAATCCCACTTCCTTTTTTGCAGCATCCCAAAGCCGGGGCCTGAAGCCATGATGTGCCTGCTAGGATCCAATGTGCACAGCAAAAGAACAGATGTTAAAGAATGGGGTTTCTGCACCTCTGTGCAAAGCTGCCCACTGCAGCACCCTGCTGGAGTTGCTATGGTAACCTCCTGCAACTTGGCATTTACATACAGGAACAGACACACTCTCACTTCAGGGCCAGATGCATTTCCTAAATGCATTGATTGTGTCCTTGGCACCCCCTCTCTCCCCCAGTCAATGGGGGCGTGTTCAGACCCAGTATTCCCAGGGGGAATAGGAGTCACTATCAGCTTGGGTGGGGAAGCGGAACTAGGCAGAAAGGGACAGTCCAAGTTCATGGAGGGTAGACTCAAGTGTATAGTTGCTCTCCAAGTTAAGTTTTGTGATCGTGGATTCTGTCACTTGTGGCCAGTAGTAAGGGCTGTAGTGACTTTGGTTTAGAGCTTTCCCTACTCTTATCTCTGGAACTTAGTTTGCTGAAGCCATCCCTGGGAGGAATATGAATCCACCAGTCGTGGGAAGTCATTGATCATTTACTTGCTCAGCAAGTAAATTTTAAAACTTAATTTAAAAATTAAAGGCCCCTGCCCTCGGGTTCTCTCTAGTCAGTGGAAACACAGACTGAAATACTCGGAGGAGTTGTAAGTAATAATGCTTGAGTGTGTGGTATGGATGGTAAGGGGGTGTAGGAATGCTGAGGAAGGAAGGAACAACTTGCATAGCAAGAGTAGATTCCATAGATGACATGGGCTTGACTAGGGCCCTTGACCCAAATCAGGTCCTATGGTTTCTTTTTGTCTTCAGGATCAAGTTCCCTAACTTCAGTGAGGCAAACAGGGGTCTTACCCTTCTGACTACAGCCAACTTTTCTAGCCTCATATCCCTGCAAGCCTGCCGTAGCCTTTCAGGATTCTTTCAAGACATTGCACATGCTGTTCCCTCCACCTAGAATGCTCTTTTCCCTTTCTCCACTTGGCAGCCATCTATTCTTCCTCCTAAACTCTGCACACCTATCACGCATCTATGAAGCCTTCCCTCTCCTCCCAAGGCAGAGAAGTTTATCCCACTCCTGTGCTCTTTGTGTGGATTTAAAAAAATCAAAACACAAATGAACGGAATTAAAGATGGATTCGCTTTGGTGTGGCCTAGGTAAGGTGAAGCCATTTGAAGTCACGGAACAAAGATAAGCAATCGGTGGTGGTGAGAGTGAATATGTGATGGTGTGTTGTGCATATGGTGCAGTACGGAGATCGGCCTCGTGGTAGAAGAGTGGTCAGTACGGTGCCTGGCTCTGTAGAGTGGAGCATGGTTCTCTACTTAGAAGCCAGGCAGTGGAGGGCTGACTTGACATAGAAAGCCATGAAGCCTGACTCCCAAACCTCAGCCATCAGTCCTGGCAGGTTTGCTTGTAGGATAATCCTGCGGGGTGGTGGAGGGAGTGGTGGTATCTTCTGCCCTCTTAAGTGAGTTTGCAAATTGTGTGCAAGGGCTGGCCATATGAGACTTTCAGTTGTGCTTTGTTTGGCTACATGTAATTTTGAAATGTTTTGAATTTGAATGTTTTCAGTCAAGGCCTGCCATCTCGAGATTGTCATACTTCCCTTTTCTTTATGGTATTTCTCTGACAGCTCTAAGCTGGATAATCTAAACCTGCTTTCAGAAGTGTTGCAAAACACTACAATATCCCAAAATAATGGCAATGTCTAATTTAAGATATTTAAATTCGTAGATCTGGGGACCAAAAAGAAGAGGCTATAAAAGCAATCAAAGGTGTTTTTTTTGGGGGGGGGGGTCTTAGGGATTGTAATCCAGGAGGCACAGAGTCCATGGAAAAAGAAAATAATCTCAAATTGCAAGCAGAGGGTACAGGCTTATAAAAGCAAAACCCACAAGGTTAGAGAACTTGTTCTGAAAGAATTACAGTTGGTGCTGACAGAGTTAAACTGGAGACTACAGGATTGGCTATTTTGCTAACAGGTGTTACATTGGATTTCAGTCCAAAGTAGAAGATGTGTTCCAGGAGGTGGTGGAGTTGCAATTGACAAGTCATAATTGATGAGATCAAAAATTTATGGCTGTTCTGGAGAATTGAAACAAGTGCACAGGCCCTGCTTCCTCAATGTCCTCCCCACCCGATTTTGAACAGACTTTCTTAGCAATGTTTCACTTTGGGATTTTCCTTTATTAAAAGGCTTTATTCCCCTCTCAGGAGAATATAAAAGGTTTCCTAATTTGCCAATGAAAATTTCATATCTCAACTAAAACTTTGTATCTCAGCTTTCAAAATAGTAGACATTCTTGCTTTAGAGGCGTATTTGATTTTGAGACAATTGGTTAACCTGAAATGTAGCTTCTGCATTGAAGTGTGGTTTCCTGGGCTGTGAACAGAACAGATTTATCAGATTCACTACTATTTGAAAGGGATGCTCTCTGTTTCAGACCCAACTCTGGAGCTTGTGCATGTGTAAAACTCAGTGAAGGAAGCTGTTTCTCTTGAGCTGGGGTGTTTAGTTTTAGCTATCATGGCTTTTGATTGAAGAAGGTGCTCCTGAAGATAAATCAATCAGCCTGCAGAGATGTAGTGAGTTTCCACATGCCAGGTGGTGTTTAAACACTCTGGAGCAGTCCAGTGTGGTGGTTAAAAGAACAGGCTTTGAAGACCCATCTAGGGTCACCTCCTTCCTGGCTTTCCACTTATTCCAGCAGTGGAGAAAAGTAGGATCAGAGAGGTTAAATAATTTACTCAGGATCCCATAGCTAATAATTGATGGATCCATCACTCGAACTCAAGTCAATGTAACATTTAAACCTTTCTCTTCATTACTATTTTATGCCTTAAAATTGTTTAAAATCCATTCTTTTACGTGGTTGGATGAAAGAAGCCCTGGCAATGGTTAGAATAGGGAAAGTACACTAACCTAGTTTGTACAGAAAAATCCTTTATGATTTCTATGTAAATGCCTTTTGGATATCCTTACCCATTGAGTGATTTCTCACACAAGGCTTTAATGCAGAAGAGAGTGAACTTCATCAAGAAATATTTGCCTGAGTAGGTGTTCTTACCTAAGCAGAATTGGGGAATTCTTATTTATAGCGTCCAGGTGTGGATAGCCATGTTGCTTGGTGTGTTATGGCACCCACAGTCATGGTGACCAATGTGGGATACATGTCCAGGGCTCTTCT